AAATTTATTAAAAATTTGATTTTTTGTAAAATCAAACATGAGAATAACGTGATAAAATACCAAAAACTCGAATGAGATACTCTGCATCAAGTAAAAATGAAAAATGTAAAGACGATTTTAATTAAATAATAAAAGAAATGATTAATAATAATTTAATTCAAAAATTATTGACGATAACAACAATATAAATGTTTCTTTTTTAAAATTTGAAAGATTCATTTTGTCATTAAAATCTGATATCGTCTAAATTTTTAATTTTACGTATCAACTTGTAATTAATAACAGTGTTCACACTTCACGTGGACATTGCAGAAGTACAGAGTCTTTGCCAGGATTGTTTAATTAATAAAGTATTTGTTTCAAATGGGTCAATTGGAATTATCATATAATGACACATATTATCACGTAGACCGGCGATGAACACCACTCAACACATAGAATTATTCAATATGTTGACATAACTCAACATAGCTCGAGGATACACAGAGGAGAAGCACCACTGGAAAACTCCACTCATAATCTCTCAATCACTATCCGTATTGAAGCAATTACGCATTAGCTCAAGAAAAATACCTGAAACAAAAGAAAAAGCTCTCTGAATCTGAAGTGGAGAAAACCAGAGGAATGCAAATTTATCTTAATTGATTAAAACCTAACCTCCCCAACTAGAGTTGAAATAGTGAAGGCCAACACCCATGTGTCTAGCTGTAGATCGGATTGAAAAATTGAGTCTTTAAACTAGTGCCAAAAATGACATTGTTCCATGGTTGCTTTTACGTTTTCTTTAGCTGAGTAGAGGCAACACCTTTTAATAGTAAATGACATAATAGCACCATGCTCCCCATGTTAGGGAATTGTTCGTCCAACTTCTTTCAAATTCGTAAAGACTAATATGAGCTTTGAATTTTATTTCGTTGCTGCTTTTGACTATTTGTCCAACTATTTTATGTAGGCACTTCACGTGTTAGGAAAATTTGCCTTTGACTCAACAAAATCTCGTGATCTTGTCCTTAGTTATGGAGTGTTAATGCCCTTACTGGCACAATTTAACGATAAAACAAAACTAACCATCGTGAGAAAGGCAACGGAGACATTGTCAAATCTTTGTGCGAGACATCCTCAGTTAGAGCAGGTTAGTCTTTTAATTGATTTTATGCTCATTTTTTATGCATATCAATACTGCTTATCTTTATATATTTAACCAATTCTTTCTGGATATTACTGAGCAGGTGAAATCTGCCATCCTTCCTCTTGCTCATCTGATTCAAACAGACGATGAAGAAGGCCTTAAGCATGCATGCTGGGCACTATTCCGTCTAACTTGTGGGGAAATGGATATAAGACAAGCAGTGATCGATGCTGGGGTTTTTCCTCGTTTGGTTGAGCTTTTACTGTCAGTGAAAAATCCTACTTGATACCATTCCCTTTTTATTTTTTATTTTTTTACTTTGGTTTTGTTTATTGAACTCCATAGCTGTGCTTATTTGGTTTTGTGGTTTGCAGATCTCCTTCACATCGTGTTTTGCTTCCTGCCTTGTCCGTTGTTGATAATATTATTCCATATGTAAATGTCGTCCAGATTCAGGTATCAGCCAACTCTTAACCTTAACTTTTTGCTTATTTCATATAAAAGAAGTGTACGGTAGGCCATATTGTGTTTTAGCCGTTTTGATGGTCTACATACTTACCAGTCATTGTGTATAGTATTTACCTTAGGTGGAGAAGGGTGACCTTGTCAATGATGCCAAAAATGCATTGCTTCATCCTTCATGGTTTGGAAATATTCATTTTGCAAATGCAGTCTTGTTGCTTCTGTTGCTAAATAAACATTAGAAGAATGGCTTCAGTCCTCATTGTTTTTGATATATTCATGATCCATATATGTTCAGTTTCGATACAATGCTTATAATACATTTGAACCACATACCATCTCTAGGAATTTCAAAAACTGTACAAATTTCTAAAGTTACATTCCAAAACTAATTAGTGGGATTTGAAAATGCCAAGGGTGTGGTTTCAAGTATCCATAAATACACGTGTCATGCAAGATGATTGGTAGTTACAGTTTTGAAGAAAGAAGCTTTTCCAAGTTACTCATGTTTTACCTTTGTCATCTTATGCCCCTCTTACAGAAGTGAGGTGATCAACTTACTTTTAAGCAAATTTTGTTCTGAAACATTGTTTGTCCTTGAACTTTTTCTGAAAAAAAAATCTTATTTTGAGCGTTTGACAGCTTATCTCATGTATTAGAGTTCATTTATGGTGAGTTTATTTTTCATAACGAATTTTTTAAGGACTTGTGATCGTTAAATGATATTTATTGGTTTCTAATATCAATTTTATTTGTGTTCAAATTTGGCATTTCTTTTATTCTTTTGCGATTATCCTCTAGTGTGTAGCTACATTGAATTCGCACTACAAGAAATAAGGGTTTTGCCGACCCAAGATTTGGTCGCTAAAAGTCGAATATTGGTCGGTAATAACAATCCCCGAATAGGAAAATTTGGTCAGTAGCCGGTCGCCTATAGGTCGCGTGCAAATGTTTTGACCGACTAGAATACATATTGGTCGGGAAAAGCTGAATTTTTTCTGGCCAATATTTGTTTGGTCAGTAAAGAGTCAACTTTTTTGTGACCATATTGTGGGTCGGGAAAAGTCATATATTGGTCGGCAATACTACTTATCATGAAATAGCAAGTGGTGGCAGTAAACATTGGCCGACCATAGTAATGAGTCGGGAAAAGTCATTGGCCGACCATAGTAATTGGTCGGGAAAAGTCACCATTTACCGACTAGTACTTATTAGTTGGGAAAAGTAGAGTTTTTCTTACCAAATTTATGTTAGTCGGTAAAGATCTTGATCGGGCAAAATATACATTTGCCGACCAAGAAAATTATTTAGACTGGTGGAGATAAACATTGACTGACAACATTAGATTAGTCGGGGAAAATCTCCTTTTGCCGACCAAGAAAATTTTAATTGTGGTCGGTAAATGTGATTTTATTTTAAAAA